TGACTGGGCGGGCAAACCGGTTGCCACCCGTTTATAGTGAATAAACAATTATTATTTGTACACTAATGGCTCAACTGACTAAACAAATATAATCATTTAAAATGGTAGCTAATTATTTCTACTTATTTATAATCATCTACATCAAATTAATCAATCAAATAAATATTCACTGTATGCATACGTGTATGTGTATAGTGTACAGCAATAAACCGGTTTAAAATCAATTGGCATTTAAATAAATTAATTCAAAACACACTTAAAAATCTAATCAAAAATATTTACAAAACAATAAATACTTTAAATTTTGTAAAAAAAACTGTAACTCTTTATAACCCATACAAACGCATTGAAAACACATACAAGTAGTTCACTATAACGGGGGATATATTAAAAGACCTAACAATAAAACACTACAACTCATAGAAAACAATGTAAAAACAAAACAAAAAACTTTTTTTGCACAATACCTACGAACCCATAATCATGAATACTTGTACACAAATTATAATTAATAAAATTAATGCAATAAGGTGATTTATTATAATCAGTAATCACTAACCGAGCTCCTTTAAAAACTCATCGAAATTATCGGACGAGGTGAGCTTGTATTTGCCGGTGAAGTCGGTCATTTTCTGCTGTGCGAACACGATAAATTTATTAAACAATGTACTCATCATACAATAAACATACAAATAATAAGGTTATATATTAACAATAAAATAAAATGTTATAACAGTAAAACAAACATTTAATAAAATTTTAAAATCAAAAAATTTAATTGATTACTTGAGAGGTTTTTTTCGTTGCGGTGTATATGTAGACAAAAATGTTAGGCCTGGCGGTAGTACTCACGCTATTCACACACTGTACTGATGGGTAGCGTATAATAGCGCTATTTAAATACAAAACGTGTCAACACTTGTGTGCCTATGTTTTGCTCAGTTTCAATGACAACTCACACCACCACTACTCCGGGTGGGCGTGGCTTTAGCCTAACAGTGATTCACATTTCGATACACGCAGTCAGAGTTCACTACACATAAATTACGTGTATTAAATATATTATTTTTGCTTCATTGGTAAACTCAATGTACAGTTTTATTAGTGATTCTATCTTAATGTTTAATACAATAGGTTGTCAGTTAATGTGAATAGCTGGTTTATTGTATTACGTAATACTGGTTATAATTGTTTGTTAGGAATTGGCAGAGTATGGTGAAATTTTTTAGGCATATTATGGCCACAATACTATTGCCCTGTTGTCAGTGCAATGCCATCACATGATGTGCTTGTGACATGATCAAGGTCTTAGTCCGATAGTACCATGTTTATTAATTTGGGTATAATTATAATTAATAATACTCTCTATTCATAACTCTGTGAATAAATAGATAGATTAGTATATTTTACATTGATAAGAATTTCTAATCAGATAATTTACATTAATCAGTAAATGTACTTCAAAATTAAAATATAAGGGTATTTAAAAATTGAGGGGTACGTATTTCCGGGGGTGCTATAGATATTTATTTGCCACTATGTGAAGCTATTAAATAATAGGGGGTAAATAATAGTGCCTACCAGACACTTTTGGGGGTGTGTCAACTAGTTTATTTATCAGTAATAAATTATCGGGCAACGTGATAAATTATATTTTTTTAGATAAATAGAATATAATACGACTTGAGTTTAATTTTGCAACTTTTTTTATTTAATCTATTGAATGATGAATGAATAGAATTAAGCGATAAATCAATCATACCATCAGTCACTTGATTGGATGGTGTCTATAATTGTGGGAATTACTGTACATTTACTGACACTAACTGTACTTTACATTAAAATTATATTGCGAGAGGAGATAACAGTCCACCACTGGTTGGCCTTCAATTTAAACAGGGTATTTATCGGGGCACAC